AGATATCTTATCAGTTGTTTGTAAATAGCAAATAAAGAAAGTGGCCCAACTTAAAACTATTTACCCTCAGTTCAGTTATGTTTGTAAACCATGCATATTAATGAGATGCACTAGTTTGGTGTACACTGGATAAACAAAAACTTGGCCATTTGTTTGCACACAAGAAAAAAATCAGTTTACTTGTACAAGATATTTTTTTTTCAATAAAATAAAAAAATTGTGTATAAAAGGCAGAGAATGAGTAACATTGCATGTTCTTATTTCGTGACGAGTTTCGCCACATATAGTGCAAGCTGATCAGCCGTGATTTTCGTGGTTTCGGCTGAGAGCGTGATGATTAAATTTAATAACATATGTTTGCTTTACATTACTGCACTGCTTTAATTCTATAATTTCTAGTATTTTGAGCAAGGGCAAGGTCCTGTACCGGGACATAGTCGCTCGGTCCCATAGACGTCCATGCATTGAGACAAATAGATCGTCAGGTCCCTGTGGGCCAGAGTTTCGTATGCTGAATGGCAACCGCGTTGACCTAGTTGTACATATTCCGTCGGTTCAATGGAAGGTCACTATTGGCATTATATGTTCTAGTCATAGAATGTGTCGCGATAGCCAAAGTTGGTGACATTGCAGGTAAATATTCGACATAATCAATGATTGATTGTAATTAAGACAGTTTCGTTCGTACGAGATCACTGTTTCCAACGACGATAGTGTTAGGATTAAGAGTTGTGGAACGAGGCTAGTCATTCACAAATCCAATATGGCGCGGCGGTAACGGTTCGGCGGCTGCACGTAGTTTAGGAAGAAAATCATACGTGGTAATGGTAAGTTTCGATTTGCTGCTTTATCGGTAAAATATGTATGGGGTTTACTTGTCTACCATAGCGCGGCCAGTGTGTATTGTACTCGGTGATATATAGTACAGATGATTTGGTAAGCATTCATTGACCGAGCTGATTGTATATTTATTTAAAACTGTTATTTTCGTCTTTAAAAAATAGAGCCCTAGAACGAGGTTGTAATGACCGTAGATGCAAATTGCGTGTGACTTTGTGAGAGTTGGTGTCCCAGAATTATATTTGAGCGTGCGCTTGTTCAAAACGGCAGAATAGTAGCAAATATTGGCGAATAAAAACAGCGTCCGATGTTTGGGCAAGATGTCCGACAAATGGGCAAGTACAACGTCACGGTAATCGTTCTCCCGACTTTCCACCGTTAGACACTGAGGAAAAAAACGGTGTTATTTCGAAAGAAGAGTGTTTTTGCTTTTGTGTGATACCGTGTTTGCCATAATGCCCGTCGTTATTTGCCCGTAATTTGTGAATTTCAGATAAGCGTCCGATAGTTGGGCCAGGGAGTGTATTTATTAAACCAGGGACAGGGAAAATATATTATCAAAAAAAATATTTACAAAATAGTCTACTTCCTCTGGCTGTTCTTCTTGCCAATTACATTCGTCCCCTGTTTACATAATGGAATGCTCCTCTCACCAATTACCGTTATAAATAATAATGTTAACAATTGACAGTGTACACTGATATTTACCGAGTAAATATTGTTGTTTTTTAATAAAAATCATTGATAGGCGAAACATTCCATTCTGTAAATATACATTGCAGGTAATAGACAAGAAGAACAGTCTACTATACAAGAGGGGTAGATAAAAGACAAACTAAATTGTTAATATATTTTTTTAATAATACGTTTGTTTATATTCGTCGCCGGCTCAATGGACTGACTGAATTTGATCGTCACTCTGGATCGTCACTCTAATCACAATCGCGTTTATTCTGGGGGCCATGTCATTGTATTGATCATTTGAGGTCATTGAGGAAGCCATGGCAAACTATACACGAAGAATGCGGCTTGAAACTAAAATATCGCTAAATAATTTATATTATTACACGCCAGCTGACTGTGAATGGGGCTATCGATCGATCGACTGACGCGTAGCGGAGGCCCGGGAGGGGTTTTTGAATTCAATCATTGCATGCATACTGCAACAAACAAAAACACGTAATATGTGTTGTTTTCAAACTTATAGTCACGTCTATGCACGCATGAAAATAAGGTTATCAAAATCACAATAAAAAATAGGGTATATAAAAAAACAAAAAAAAAAACATAATCTGTGTTATAAGATTTCAGGCTGCGATGGAGTAAGATTTTGGCTGATGGATGCTTCACCATTGGAAGATATGTTTATTTTCTGATTCGTTTAGTAAATATCGTATTCAAGACTCAAATCGATTTATCTTAACAAAAACAAATTGAAATTTTATGCAAATATGGTGAATATGTTTGTCTGTTTTTTTTTTTGGCTAAAATATTTCACAGCATACGCATTTTTGCCGCATATCGTCAACAGAGGGCTTTGTGCAGTAGTGAAATAAATGAAAAACGGCTGGAACGTTTTGGTGGTGCACGCTGACTACAAATATATTTGTTAGGTCTAACGAATGTGCCTTGAATGACCAATGTTCCCTCGATCTCACCTGGATGACTGACGCTTAGATGGCGTATATCATTATGAAGAGCGGGTGTTCGCACAGGCTGTAACATGAATATGAATTCTGTGGGGAAAAATACAGTAAATGTACATGCAGCATTTGCGCAGCTCTGCTCAGAAATAGGGTTGTCATTCGTTGCCGGAAACTGGCCTGACAGAGCAGCAAAAAAATGGTTTTAGGTGGTATTTTGAATGGTGGGGAAATAGGCTTGTACGCAGTTGAGCGAAGTTGTGTGTATGTTTACTGACGAAAAGTTGAATATCTCGTGAATAAAAAAAATTAAAAAACAAACCTGTAAGTTGAAAACATGGCTCAAAAATGGGGAATCAACATGCCAGTAATCAACCATATGAAAAAAACTAACATGTTGGCCAGCTCAAACTCCTGCAAATCTCAGGTAAACAAGACTGTATTTGGATTGCATCAAGAGAAATCACTGGAAAAACACCAAGATTAGAACATCCAAATACACACAGGTACACAGCCGCTAAGTAGTAAACAAAAGACCACATGTTGGTCTCACCTTTGACCCAGTTGATTACGCCCTCAAACAGGAAGCACCTGAGAAAAAAAATGTTTAAAAAATTTCATTGGTTCTTGCAAGGCATTTAAATTGAGGGCTATGAGCAGCCATTGGTTAATTAGTGGCATGAGACCTTAAGAGAAATAAGATTTAATAAAGTTCTTGTTGATCTTATATATGATGGAATATCATTAGACGAGTAATTTCCCATGCAAACAAAATCCCCAAAATTTAAATTCTGGGAGTTATTTATCAAAATCTACCACTTGGTGGCGCCCTATACCCAGACAATTAGTTGTAGAAAGTGTCAACATGCACACTCAGCATAACACCAAATTAGATGGTAGGCAATGAATATAAGCCTGATTATTAGATGCAGTACTCTAAAGTATAATGTTCTTATTCACCATGCCACAAACAAGTACAGACCAACGTTTGGCATGATTAGTGATTTTAATTAATTTCTAGAAATAATACATAGAATTATGACAATTAAAGGTAGTTTATCACTATAATTTAAAAAAAAAATTCTACTGAATCAAAAGTCTCAATTCATCAGCTCATTATTTCTCCAATTAATTAAAAACAAAAAAAACAATTCCACGGTATCTGCATTTAGGCAGGAGACCTGTGACAGACAACCTTTGATATACCAAAACACAACAGTGGTTTGATTTACCATGGCCACACATAGAATTTGCTCAACATAAAAAGCTTAATCAAATCTTATGTGAAAAAAAGTAGTTCAACGAAAAAATTTTATGATTTAAAAAGAAATAAAAATAAAAATATACAAACCAGAAAAGGGTCTAAATATAAATTACTCTTATTACACATCCCTGATCAAATTAAATTCAAATCAACAGCATTTCTGATTATTTTTTTTTTGGGGGGGGGGTTTACATGCACTGTTCAATAATAAACTCAAGATGGGATTAATTAGCTAACTATTCACCAAAATTCTGAGAAAAGAGCAATAATTGTGAAATTGAAAGAGTTGTAATACTTGGCTAATATACTGACAGTATGCAAATCTCTTGTCAGTGACAAGATACACAACACAATTTTGAGAATTTATTTAAATATTTGGGATTTTGACCTCATTAAACTTTGAATACGGTACATTAGAAATGACCGCACTACAAATTGTTAAGTTTGTCTGCCATAATGTGAAAATAAGACAAAAAACCCATAAAATGGGGTTAAGCATTTTTCTCAGAATTCCTAGAGCCATTGAAATTAGTGGTGACTTGAATAATTCATTGATGAATGAATAACATTTTTGGACCAGTTTAATAAAAACATTTATATTTACAGACCACAGCCCAACCACAGCCAATTAATAAGATTAGGGCAAAAAATATACCGAATTACAAATTTTCAAAATCTTCAACCAAGATATAAGAGATTGACAGAAATGGGTGAAACGCATAGCAAAATATAACATTTCTGGATAAAAAATTACTCCATTGTG